GCCTCCTCGGCCGCCTGCCCCGCCTCCTCGGCCGCCCGCCCCGCCCCGCCCGCTGCCCCAGCGCTCTAGCGCCTCCGCAGGACGCCAAGAGCAGCGGCCGCGGAGGCCTGGGAGGCGGAGCTTCGGTCGCGGGGCGGGACTTGGAATGAATTCGTACTCCGGGGCGGAGCCTGCCCAGTGGGCGGGGCTTCGCGGGGTGAGGTCGAGTCTAGTCCCGCCCTTGAGGAGTGATCCACCCCTGTTCGGAGGATATGGGACCGGAAGTACTGTGGAAGTTGTTTTTCTCTTTCTTCGGGGGCAGAAGGGTGGTGTGAGCTCATTGGTAACCACCTCTCCGAATACTGCGAATTAAGTCCTTGAAGTACAGGAAAGGAAACGGAGGCTCAGAGATAGCAAGGGGCTGGTCCAAGACTGGGCCTCAAAGCTACATTCACGGAGGATCTCTACTTCTTGAGTCTCTGTGGCCCCCGGGCAACTGACCACCCAGACACCTGTTGCTGACCGCTGATCACATTCTGGTCCACATTGCCTGTGGTGTATACTAAATTAATTTTTTGTGTGTTTCATTTTTGTCTTTTGAGCAGCATAGTAATGCTGCCTTGTGTGCATATTAAAAGTACTACTTTGTAAAGAGCAAACGTTAAATAAACCATAATTCTCATTGGAACCCTGAATTGAGTGTCTTATGTGCCAGTAACCTCAAATCTGGAACCCAAGCTTGTACCCACCCAGCCCACTGGGATGGGGGGAGGAGTCCAGGGCCACTGGGTCAGGCCGGAAGAGCCTGGGAGAGGAAGGGGTAACCCCCTACACACATTTGGGAGGGGCCCCCAGCGGGTTGCTGAAGCTGTGGCTGAGGAGGAAGTGAGAGGAGGAGGTGAGATACAGCAGGGAGGTAAGCTGGGCGGTGGGGACAGGGGCTGGGCCCCGGTCTCTGTCCAGGGGGTCTGGCCTTTCTGCCACTTCTGGGTGTTACCCTACTATCATCCTACAATAAAAGAAAGGGCTTGGTGAGATACCCTGAAATCTGCCCCCTCTGACCTGGGGCTAGGGCCTGGCTGGATAGGAGCCCAGGCCCCAGGCTGGTCAGGAGCTGCCTCTCCTTTGACTTTGCCGACATCTTGCAGCCTGTGGTACCGGGGTCTGTGGCACCATGGCCCAGGCCTTGGGGGAGGACCTGGTGCAGTCTTGCGAGCTGCAGGATGACTCCAGCTCTTTGGGATCTGACTCAGAGCTGAGTGGGCCTGGCCCATACCGCCAGGCTGACCGCTATGGCTTCATTGGGGGCAGCTCAGCAGAGCCAGGGTAAGTGGGGAAGGGATGGGGTTGGGTGGGGTGCTGGGAAAGAGGGTGGGGGCTGAGGGCTGAATTCTAGAGTGAAGCCCAAACTCGAGGGTCTTGGGAGGGTCTGGGGACTCAGCTGGTGTCACCCTTCCTCAGGTTCCAAGTAGAATCCTAAGTCTGGCAGGGCTGCAGTTTCCTATATGCCTCTTTTACTTCCAATCTCTGAGGGTTTGCACCCACCCTTGGGGCTAACATTCTTCCCCTTTTAATCTCTGGCCCAGGAATCCCAGCTCCAAATTAAAGAACCTACACCCCTTCCCCTAACAATCCTCCCCCTTCCCAGCATACAGACAAGAAAACAAGTCCAAAGACAGATAGGAAGGTCACACAGCAGAATAGAGACAAAATCAGATGCAAACTCATGACTCCTGGCTTCTAGTCCAGGGCTCTGTCTACCCAACTTCCCCTGTGAGTAGACTGTGTCCCCATCCTGGGGGACAGCCAACCAGCCCTTCCCCCAACACACACCTACACACCCCTTTCAGTCTTTTCTGCTTCTGCCCACATCAGAGCCACATCCTTTCCTGTCCCCATGACAACCACTGGAAACTCCTGGGTGACAGGTCACTGCCCACCCCCAGCCCCCAGGGCTTGCCAGAGATCTCCAGGGCCAGGAGTTGGGCTCACCTGGATAACATTAAGAGTGGCAGATATGGGCTCTAGGTAATAGCTGCCCAGTGTCTGGATGCCTGGGCCATGTCCCCCCAGGCCAGGTCACCCTCCTGCAGACCTTATCCGTCAGAGAGAGATGAAGTGGGTGGAGATGACCTCACACTGGGAGAAAACCATGTCTCGGCGGTACAAAAAGGTGAGGAGAAGAGGGGCCCCACCCAGGCCTCCTTGGCTCATCCGCATTTGCCTCGGCCATGCCCCAGCAAAATTTCCCCTCCGTGTCCCAGCACCTCACGCCTTTTCTCCTTCCTACCTAAAAATGGCTCTTGTCCAATGACGGGTTGTGCTTGGGGCCTGCCAGCAGGAGCTGGGGAAGCTGGCATGGCTGGCCTAACAGGGTCCCTTGGCCTCACCCACAGGTAAAGATGCAGTGCCGGAAAGGCATCCCCTCGGCCCTGCGGGCTCGGTGCTGGCCCTTGTTGTGTGGGGCCCACGTGTGTCAGAAGAACAACCCTGGCACTTATCAGGTGAGGGAACTGGCAGGGGTCCCACCTCCCCTTCCCAGGCCCTTCCCCTGAGCCTTCACATCCACCCTCATGCCCACCCACAGGAACTTGCTGAGGCCCCTGGAGACCCACAGTGGATGGAAACCATCGGCAGGGACCTGCATCGCCAGTTCCCTCTGCATGAGATGTTTGTGTCACCCCAGGGTCACGGGTACGAGGCCAGTGATGCTCAGGGACCCCTAGCCCCACAGCCCTCAGGCTCTTTGGCCTAGTCCCTCACCTTGACTTTCTATCCTTGCATCTCAGAGGACCCAGCAAGGCCCTGGGGTGGAGTGTGGGGACTGAGGCCTGGACAGGGGTCGCCAGAGGGTGGGGAAGGGATGCCTGGAGGACTGGCCCCTAAAGGGGTCTTCTGGCACAGGCAGCAGGGGCTCCTGCAGGTACTCAAAGCGTACACCCTGTACCGGCCCGAACAGGGCTACTGCCAGGCCCAGGGCCCCGTGGCTGCCGTGCTGCTCATGCATCTGCCCCCAGAGGTGAGTGCCCTCAGCCCTGCCAGAGCAACCCAAGACCCGGACCCCCCACCCCCAGGAACTCTGGCCTCAGGGACCTGTGATCCCTGACTCTCAGGTCCTGTCCTAGTGACCCACAGCCTCATGACCCCCAACCTCAGTGACCTTCGAGCCCAATGGCCTTGACTCCAGGAACATGGAACTCTGATCCCTGACCCTTTCCCCAATGATCTAGGAGTCTAGACATTGTCACTTTGATCTCATGACTCCTGATTCTGAACCCTGTGACTATGATCCCCTGACCCCAGTGACCCCAAGAACCCAGGACTTGAACTTTGGGATCCTCCTGACCCTTGACCAGCGAGCACCAACCCTGTGACCCTCAAATTCAGCACCCTGAGCCCTGTGACTTCTAACCCCCCAAATCCCTTGGTAGGCCTTTGTCTGGGCAAGGGGAAGCTTTTGGTAAGAACTGCTCCTAACCCACCCCAGCACTGAGTCTAGGCTCCTGGCTCCAGGGTCACTCCAGACACCACTGGGTCCAGGCCCTCCCCTTTGCCCCTTTCCTCTGCCCAGTGGTCCCCTCTGTGGTCTCCTCCACGGTGGGTACTCAAGACCTGTGCCCACCCCCCAGGAGGCCTTTTGGTGCCTGGTACAGATCTGCGAGGTTTACCTCCCTGGCTACTACGGGCCCCACATGGTGAGAGGCTGGGACAGGGCCAGAGGGAGGTCTGGGTGGGCGAGTGGGGGCCTGGGGAAAGGGTGGGGCAGAGCCAGGGGGGTTGGGAATGGAGTGGAGGTGCTGACGGACGTGGCTGCAGGAGGCTGTGCGGCTGGACGCTGAGGTGTTCATGGCCCTGCTGCGGCGGCTGCTCCCGCGCGTGCACAAGCACCTGCAGCAGGTGGGCGTCGGGCCCCTGCTCTACCTGCCCGAGTGGTTCCTGTGCCTCTTCGCCCGCTCCCTGCCCTTCCCCACGGTGCTGCGTGTCTGGGACGCTTTCCTTAGCGAGGGTGAGTGGGTGGCCGGCCAGGTGGGTGGGGACTGGTGGGGGGACTGGGGCCCGGAGCCTCGGGTGCCTGGTGGGCCCAGGGAACGAGCGTGCCCACTCTGCTCTGCCCCGCCGCCACTGCCGATCCTGGCCCTTGGTATGGGTGCCGTGGTGTGCTGAGGCCACATCCCACCCATGTAATGAATGCTAGCCCTCTCAGCAACGAGCCCACCATAGAGAGGGCAGCATCTACTTGGTGGAAGGCTGAAGTCAGGGAGGCTTCCATGAGGAGATAGGGCAGGAGCTGGGGAGATCACAGCAGTAGGACAGCTCAGGGACTGGGCACGGTCGGGGCATGGCTGATGGAGCTCACAGGCACTGGGTGAGCATTCACAGAGCCCAGTCGCTTCTCTGGAAGCCAGGGCCACTTGAGTGAGCGAGACCTACATTCTGGTGGGGGTGGGGGTGGGGATGGGAGGCAACAGTAACCAAATTAACAAGATATTTATAGATCGTCATAAGTTCCACGAAGAAAATAAAACAAAGGATGTGCCAGAGTGTAGGGGAGCTTCAGGAGGCGAGTGCTGTTTAAAGATGCTTGTGGCTGCGCTGTGGAAGAGGCAAACTGGCAGGGACGTTGTGGAGGCTGAGAGGCCGGAAAGGACACTGTCCACAGGGTCCAGGATACAGATGACTTGAGGGGTCCAGACATGGAGAGAGGTGGATACCAGAGCCCGGCCAAGAGTGGGAGGAGTTGGGGCAGAGCTGAGCTTGACGCTGGGTTTTTGGGGCTCTGCCTTGATACCCCCATCAGTAACCCACCTGCATTCTTTTCTATGTGGGTTGTCGAGCGGTTGCACCTAAAAAGTGGTAGAAATCGATCAATACCGTTGTTGAGCATCTGCTGTATGCCCAGTTGGCTTCAGGCTAGCTTAGAGCTCTGGCCACGGGTGTCCAAGTCACCATCTACGCGTCCTTCCCTGCAGACTCAGACCCTGAGGGCGGGGTGGGGCCCATCAGGCTGGTGAACTACCCTTGTTCTCTGCTGCAGGCTCCCTTTTATAACAGTGAGAACGTTAGTAGTCACTGTTATCTCTTTAAAGTCACTAGGCCTCACTGGTCCCCTGACTGCTTTTCTCAGCAGACCCAAGGCTGCCAGGAAGGGATTCTGAGGCTCCAGGAACAGGCCCAAGGTCACACGATGTGCGTGCATGTGTGTGCACACGTGTGCACTGTGCTCTTGGCTTAGGGGTAAGGAGCTCTGGCTAGAATCTCTCTGGAATCAAGTCGCAGATCTCAGCTGGAAAGGTCTTTGTGTCACCACCCAGCCCTTCCCTGTAGTGATGAGGTGCTGAACCCTAGAATGAGAAGGCTTGGTGCGAGCCTGTCAGTAGCCCCTGGCTCCTGGTGGGCTGCTTTGGTCAGAGGTGTCTGTGGTTGCTGAGACATACTTGATCTGGGTCTTGGCAGAAGAGCTGTAGGAGCAGGGAAGGAGTCTGGCTGAGGGTAGGTTCAGATGCAGACCAAGGAAGGGCAGGACTGGCCCCCACTGAATGAGCCCCCGGCCTGCAGGTGTGAAGGTGCTGTTCCGGGTGGGGCTGACGCTGGTGCGCCTGGCGCTGGGCACTGCTGAACAGCGCCTGGCCTGCCCAGGACTCCTGGAGACACTTGGCGCCCTTCGAGCCATACCGCCCACCCAGCTACAGGAGGAGGTCTTCATGCCCCAGGTTGGTGCCCCCTCCCTGTCCTTCTGCAGTGGCCCAACCACTGCTGCACAGTTGGGGAAACTGAGTCCGGAGCAGGAAGTCAGAGTAAGAACTGGGACTTGCTTTCTGTCCTCAGGCCTCAAGTGGCTTTCTGTGACTCCCTTAGCGAGTCTGTCAGCCCCTCAGCCACTTCCTGGGGCTGTGTACTGCCCGCCCCCCAGAGACCTCATCGTTTCCTGCCCTCCCCTAGGCCAGGTAGACTCAGTACCGACCGCTTCCCACAGGTGCACAGCGTGGCCCTGTCCGAACATGACCTGCAAAGGGAGATCAAGGCCCAGCTAGCTCAGCTGCCTGCGACGGCATCCGGGCCACCCCCGAGGCCGCAGGCCCGCCTGCCTGGGGCCCAAGCCATCTTTGAGGCCCAGCAGCTGGCAGTAACTCGGGGAGGCACTAGGCCCGAGGTGCCCCGCATCGTGGTGCAGCCCCCGGAAGAGCCCAGGCCGCCTCGGCGCAAGCCCCAGACCCGAGGAAAGACTTTCCACGGGCTGCTGACTCGGCCCAGGGGCCCCCCTATTGAGAGCCCCTCAAGGTCCCATCGCGGCTCGACCTCCTTCCTGGACACCCGATTCTGAAGGACCACGGACTCAGTGTCCCCCAACCCAACTGCCAAAATGGATGATGCCAGCCCCGAAGTGGGCGCCGCACTTTACAGCTGGGATTCGATGCCTCAGCTCCCTTCTCAGGGACTCTGTCAGGCACGAGGATGAAGGAAGGTCACAGAGTGAGGTTTCAGGGACCCTGGCCCACCGTCTGCCCACAGAGCTGTCCGGATGCCTGAGCCTTTGCAAGCAAAAAGCTGGTGCTTGAAGGAGCATGGGGGTAAGGTGTGGGCTGGGCGAGGGGAGCCTGAAAGGCCCCTGGGGAGGCCTGGAATAAAGTCTGAGTGGAAGCCTGTATGGAGTTGGATCGAATGCCCCCTATCCCCACCCTAGACCAGCTGCTACTTCCCCTCACAGCCCACCTCTCCTAGTCCATCCCTGGCTCCCAAGGGCACAATGAGGCTGCCCATTGGCTACTGGAAGGTGTTTACCAGCGGCAGGAACCAATAGGAAGTGCCTTGCCCTGCCTCTTGGGGGCAGATAAAGCTCCTGTACCAGTGGGAGGAGGGCTCCCCAAGTGGTTGCTGGGCCTAGAAGTGGGGCTCTGTTCCTTATTTTGCTTACTCCTCTGCTGGTTCAAGACCCCTACCCATAGTCCTGGTCTGGTCCTCAGAGAGCCAGGCGAGAACAAAGGCCTAGTGTGCCTGGACAAAGGAGAAAGGGCCTGCCGGCCTTTGCCCCCGCCCTAAGCCCAGGCCGCACCCCTCGAGACTGCCACCATGGAAACCCCCTCCCACACTCGCTAATTGCCCCAGGGGTGCCTTGGGTGCCTGGGACAGGAGCCATTGCCAGGACAACGGGGCTGGTTCCGATGCAGGCTTGTGTCCCTGCAGGGCTCATTCCTCCCTGCCTCCTTGGGTGCCCTCCCTAGAAGGATGGAGGGTTGGCGGCATGGCAGGACTTGGGAGTACACGGAGAAAGTGTCTGCAGTCTGCTTAAATGGCAGAGGGCTTGATCTGACTGTCTCAGTGGCTGTATTAGAACACTGACACCTGTCAGACCCCTGATTCAAGATGGTCTAGTGACAGGACCAAAGGCTCCAGAAATACACTCACTCTACATACAATCTTGTGGCCTTGACTGTGTGACTGGCCAGGCCCTGGCTCTGGGGCAGACCATCCCACTCCCAAGGAGCTTATGGCCTGGAGGAGGGACTCACGGAAGCGCGCAGCCAGACTGAAGTTTGCCTGGGGGAAAGAGGCTCAGGAGGGGACACAACTTGGCCAAAGCCTTGCTGCCCATGGCAGACCTAAGGTTTACCCCCACACCACATCAACAGCCATCAACCTGGCATCCACCTCCGTCTGTCCTCCTAGGGGTGCTCTCTCTCCTGCTCCCACCCACTCCCCAAGCCTTGCCCCAACTGGCGTTCCAGCCGCTCTGAGTGTCCTGTGAGTTGAATAGAACTTCCTGAGCCCTCCCACCCTCCTCCCCACGCCACTAGGGTACTTGCAGCTTAATAATAGCACACTCTCCTGGAACCCTTCCTCAGACCCCCTCCTCACTTCACCCCAGACACCCTCTCTCTGCAGGTGGCATCGATGGCCTCATTAGAGAAAGGGGCAAGTGGCCAGGTTGAGCACACAGCCTGGGAACACACTGAAGGCACAGCCCACCAGCCCATGCCTGTGGCTGAGAGAGGGTGTTTAATGGAATC